AAGGGTGGGAAAAAGAAGAACCCACAAAGTAGCAAAGAACAGCTACAGGTAACTCCATTTATGCTGCTGTCATCCATGCAGAAGTGAGCGAGAGTTTTCAGTGGTATGGGTGTTTTGGTTGGTGATAGTCACAACCCAGCAAATGGCTCCTTAACAACTGACTGCTCACAAACTAATTTGTTCTTGAAGTTGGATTTTGATAGAATTGTGCTTTTATTTGTTGTTGGTGCCCTCCTTGTAAGGTCAGGGTGAAAATTTATGTCTCCCTATGGAAAGGTTTGTCATGGACACCATGGACACATGGTGTGGGAGTTGGAGTCTCAGGATGCTGCCACATGACTCCAACATTAGCAGCCTCTGACAGTGCTTCAGGGTGTCTGTGTGTTGGCCCCACTTTGGTGACTGCTTAAGTGGGTGTAGGCCATTTGTACGTGGTGAGGGCTCATACATGGTTCCACTGCAGGCTAGGTCAGAGAGTGGTAACCACCTAGGAGCACCAAAGGGGGTGTGGTTCTCTCTTGCTTTGCCTTTTAGGTTTTCTTCCAATTAATTTTGTGGCTCAGCAAAAATGCTTGTGGATTTTATTATGGCATTTTCATACATGTGCACACACATACTCTGTACCTTAGTCATATTTCTCCTCCTCTCACCAGCCCCCTTCCTTTCCTTGAATAGTCTTCCTTCTGCTTTCATGTCATATATATGTAATATATTGTATATGTGTGTATTCAATATATCTATTCCACATATGAGAAAGATGGAGGAAAACGTGAAATATATTGTCTCTATCTTCCTCTCTCCTGTTATTCTCTTATGTTCTCCTCTGACCTTCCTTTAAACCTCTTCCTTCCCCCATGGTCTCCTTCTATTCTCATTTCCCTCTCTCTACACACACACAAACACACACATGCACACACACATACAAATGCACACATACATATAAACATATCTATACACACATGAGAGAAAATATGTACTATTTTCTGGGTCTGGTTCATCTCACTTAGCATAGTAGCCTTCAGCCCCATTTATTTTTCTTCCAAGTGTCGTTATTTCATTCTTATTTATGGCGGTTTCTTTTTTTATTCTGATCTCTTACTCCTTTATCTTTTCCTCCTGCTACCTCTCAAACACAGTTACTCCAGGGTCCAAGATTTCAGCATTTGAGTCTTTGGGGAACAGCCACCCTTAGAATGTAGTGATGAATCATGGAAGATGTATCGGTCTGAGAACTAAATGCAGTATTGTTGCTCAGTCAATTTGTGGCCCATGTTGTTGGACCCATCAGGGTTGAAGACATGCGTGTGAGGATGTTGCTTGGGATTTGAGGCTTTGGCCTCAGTGGGTAGTATGACAGATGGTTTACGGTAGTTCTTGCAGATATTCATGCTATTTCCTAATAGAGACAGGAGAGTGGCCATTAAAGGGGTCCAAGTAAGAGAATAAGAACAGAATAAGAACAGAACTCTCCACAGAACAAGCTGACTGAGGTCAGTAGTCCAGGCTGACTCAGTGACACTGCTGTGTGACCTGTCTTTTTCTTTATAAGCATCAGTGTATTGAATCAAGCTTTTTCTTGGCTTCTCATAGTGGCTTGTGCTTCCATCAGTTCCACAAGTGGGCCTGGTGAGGTCTGTGGCCAACATTGTGCTTATTAAGGAAGAAAAATGCTTTCAGAAACCGCTGATACCTTCTCTCAGTGCCCTACTGGCCAAGCTCAGGCCCTGTAGCCCTGACACTCAGACTCTTTGGGTGCTGCAGTGTATTTTCGGTTCCTACAAAGGGAGATGGCATTCCTATAGAGGGTGGAATTGGGAGTGTGAAGCTGTGGGAGCCTTGTAGTGGAGGCATGGCTGGCAGAGGTGAGACACTGGTTGGTGGTGACCTTTGATGGTTACAGTTCTTGGCCAAAACTCTGCTTCCTGACCAACACAGTCCTATGACCAGATACCTTAAACTCCCATTGCCCTGTGCTGGGGCTAGCCCTGTCTCCATACCTTTTCTACTCTAGTTCACTGCTACCTCTGAACTATTAGTTAAAACAAACTTCTTACCACTTAAGCATCTTCTGTTGGGTAATTTTCCTCAATGATGGGGAAATAACCAACCCAGGTGCATAGCAACAGCCTGACCAAAGAGCAGCCAGAAGGAGGGAGTCAGTAGCTACTAGCTGCAGTAGTTAAGGTGAGAGGTCATTTCATAGCCTCTACTTAACGCAGACAAACTAAGGTCCATCCGTTGTTTCTTAATCTGATGTAGCTTTTTTAGCCTTCACCCATTGCCAGCTACCAACTGCTTGCACATATTTCTGCAGTGTGTACACCTGGTATGTACAGTAGAGCTTGCTACCATTCATCCCCTGCAGCGTGTGGGACCTCTTTATCTCTCATTACCCTGGTTGACAGTGTGTGCCCTTGTTTGCTTGTTGTGAATTTATACTATTAACCGGGCTAAGCTTATGGTAAGCTCAGATTCTCAGGTCCTTTTTTTTTTTTTTTATGTCAACATATCTATTCTTGGCATATCACCCACATATTGAATCGTATCCCGTGGTGAATTCTGTTATTGAGCGAGACATCATTTTACAAGCAAAAAAGAAAAATCCATTAAATGTTGTTCTACCTTTTTATAGCATCCAAAATATCCTGCTGTAGTATTTATATGCATATATCACCTGTTATCTAGGCGACAGAAAGACTTCTGTAACTCAGACAATTTGTGGGCCTTTGGAAGTGTTTTTGTTACAGACACTAAAAATAAATAAATGAATAAATAAGTAAATAAGTAAATAAATAAATAAATAAATAAAACAAGGCAAATATTGCTGTGAGGCATGTTGCATAGCAAGCTTCACAACATGTGGGCTCTGCCAGCAGCCCTGGAGACCAGGTGCTGTACCCATCCTGTGGCTTTCGGGGTCTGAAGCTATTAGTGGGCCTTGACTTTGAACCATGGAGAACAGCATGGAATTCTGATTTGTAATGCCTATTGTCTTTTTCTGTTGTTTGACGTTAATATATTTAATATTAATATTATTCTGTTAAAGAGTAACTCAGACTGTTTGCAGAATGTATGGAGATGATCCAGGAGCCTGGCAAACACTGTGTTGGTTTATGGGATGCAATGTGTATGCTTGGTTTGATCATTCTGTTCTCTTACCTCCACCTCAGCTAGCATGGCTTGCTAAAAATTTGCTCTCCTCTAGGTTACCAGTTGTACATTTATTGGTACTGTGTTGGGCTGCCTGGAGCTGATTTGAGATATAAGAAGCACTGGAAATTGGCTTCTGCCTGTCTCCCTGTGCTTCTTCCTCCACTGAATTGTCCTCACTGTTTGCTGGCTTCAGTCTCACCTCTCTGATAACTCATGTATTCCTGCATTTTCCAAAACCCATCTTCATACCTGCTCGTATGCTCACCTGTGCTACATCCCCTGTTTATCCCCTACCCTCATACAGGGGTGTTTGGAATCACTTCCAGTGTTCTCTCCAGACATTCTGAAGATCTGGTCTTCAGACGGGTCATTTCAGACACGGTTATTCTAATAAAGCTCTCTCTCCTCTCCTTTCCAGTTTTAGCTCACTTGGGACTGTCCAGGTGTTTGCATTCTAGAGTGCTCCTTTGTTCTTCTCTGATATGTGAAGGCTATTCTTGCTTTTTAGGCTAATGCCAAGGTTGAACCTGTCATGCTGCTGTTGTATGTCTGTGACTGATGCAATTCATTATTCTGCTATGATTTTGATTGTTCTGCAATGCATTTGAATGGTTTGTGAACCCATTTATTTTGTTCTCCACTACATGGTATATATGTAAAGCTTTAAGCCAACCGAGCTATTCCTTGGACTAGATGGCTTCAGAGGCTCACTATTACCTTCAAGAGATGTATATAGGAGCCAGCAGGTCCCATGATATCCTAAGTATGTTTTGGTTGGCTTCTCCATTGTCTAAAGAAAGGTCAGGTAGCAACCAGCCTTGAAAAACAGCAGCCACTGTAAAAGCCTGGACTTAGCATCTTCTTTTGAGCCATGAAAAGATGTGACAATCATTCCATATCCCAGGAGTCCCCAGCAGGGTTAGGCCAGGCACAGTCTACATCTTCTTTAATGCAGATTGACTGGGCTTTATGTCCTCACCAAAGGAAGAGTGGGGATTTTCACAGTGTTCATAGTCTTCTGGGACTTACTTCTTATTCTTGTTATCTATTTTGATCACTCTCTTCTTCCTGATGAAGGTGTGGCCACCAGGATGCTCAGCCAAGTGTTTATCCCTTGCTTTTGTCTTCCTTTCTTAATCTGGAACACTGCATTTTTTAATCACACATATTTTTGAGACCACACAGCTCTTTCATTATCACTGGTTCTCTCTCTTTCCCATTCAATGCTTCATTAACCCTCGCTCTTTTACTCAGCCATAGCTAACACCTCCATAAAGCCTTTCTGACATATCAGGTAGACTCTTCCATCCTGTTCCTTACTCTTGTTTCATGTGACACAGAATAGACACTGCTCTTGATGACACCCATTATCTCTTGGTGTGACTGTTCTGAAGTGGAGGGCCCTTGAGGGCTTAATATGTTCTTGTTATGTGTCCATCAAGCCTGACTCAGGGAACGCACCTGGGAAGTCTAAGTTGATTAAGAGAAGGGCTTTCTTGGACTGTGAATCTCAGATCATTTTATCTGTTGTGCTGATATTAATGGTGCTTCAGGAAAATGAGTCCAGGGTCTGTGTTGCTCTGTCCAGCGGTGCATTCCTGGTATCCAGTTATGAGCTGGATACAGTGAACATGTTTTGCATTGAGATTGTGAAGAGCCAATAATGACATATGAGTAGAACAATGTCTTTCCTGGCATTGTGGGCCAAGAGGAGAGAGAAAGAATGGGGGTGAGTATGAGGATGGAGAGGGGAAGGCACTTCCTTTGCCATCACCTCCAGTAAGAGCCATATTTCCTCCCAACTAGTATGAAAGGAGAGCTTATATGTCTTGGTATTTGCTCCCTAGGTAACGAGTCAGACCTCGAGGTAGAAAAGACATACAAAGAAGATGATCGAGAGAAGGCTTCAAAAAGACCTCGGGCGCAGAAGACAGAGAAAGTCCAGAAGAACTCAGGAAAGGAGGCAGGGCAGCTTTCTGGAGCCAAGAAACCCATCATCAGCGTGGTTTTAACTGCTCATGAAGCCATTCCAGGTGAGTGATGACAGGCCAGAAACGATGAAATGAGAATGTGTAGCACAGCTGCTCTTGCCTGAGGAAGGAAGCCTAGGTCAGAGCCTATGTGGTAGGTGTCCTAGTGGAGCATCATTTAGTCATCTGTAAGTATGGAGGAATAACAGACCTTCTTATTCTCAGGAACTGCTGTGCCTCTCTTTTCACCCTACTCTGTTGTCACTCAGATATACAGGGACAGTCCCTTTCATGTCTTTCCCAGCCTTCAGCTGGTGGTAGCCCTGGCATACCACAGTGACCGCTTCCTTGGTAGTAGTTGCCCACACAGCCCATACCAGAGCAGCAGCTGTTTTCTGGGTCCAGGCAGGCACTGCATGGCTTATTCACATTTTGGTGATATTTACTAAAATATTTTTTAGTACTAGACATTTCTCTTTTCTTTTCCTTTTCCTTGAGCATACCTGGTAGATATGCTATACTTTCTTTTTTTTTAAGTTCTGTTGTAGGAAAGACGATTTTAGACAAAACCAGTGTCTTAGAGTTTCTGTTGCTGTGTTAACATACCACAGCCAAAGCAACTGGGGAAGAAAGGGTTTATTTTAGCTTGCCACTCTCAGATCATAGTCTATCACAGAGGGAAGTCAGGGCAGGAACTCTAGGTAGGAACCTGGAATCAGGAACTGAAGCAGAAGCCATGGAGGAATGCTGCTTTCTGGTTTCCTCTTTCATAGCTTGCTAAGCCTGCTCTTCTTTTTTCTTTTATTTTCTTTTCTTTCTCCTTCCTTCCTTCCTTCCTTCCTTCCTTCCTTCCTTCCTTCCTTCCTGTTTGTTTCTTTATGTAGATATGTTTTGGGGGCAGGGTTTCTCATGTGACCCCGGTTGTCAGGGAAGTCACTCTGTAGACCAGGCTGTTCTAGAACACAGAGATCTAGGTACTTTTGTCTCTTCCTCCTGAGTGCTGGCATTAAAGTCAGAAGCCTTCACATCTGTTTTAGCCTGCTTTCTCATACAAACCTACCCAATGATGGCACTGCCCACAGTGAGCTGAGCCCGCCCTCATCAGTCATTAAAAAAGTTCTCCAAAGCTTGCTTACAAGCCCTGTGTGATGGGGGCATTTACTCGGTTGAGGTTCCTTCTTCCCAGGTGAACCAAGCGTCTGTCAAGTTGACATAAAAACTAGCCAGCCTAGTTTGTGGTAGATTTCAAACTTGCATAAAAGTTGACATAAAAACTAGCCAGCCTAGTTTGTGGTAGATTTCAAACTTGCATAAAAGTTGACATAAAAAAAGTTGACAGTTTGTGATAGATTCCAAGGTATCATAACTTTTTTTTTCATGTGTTGGGGGTGTTAGCTGTCAAATAAAATGAGGACATTGTCAGGGTTTTCAGAACAGCTGCCCCCTTTAAGCATCTATTTTCGGTGCTAATAGTAGACATTGAAATTCAAAACTCTGAATACATTTTCTCCTTGATAATTGACTACAGAATAAGGTGTTCAGGACCATGTAAAATTAGGCTACTTGAATTTTCTGGAAAGTCACTTTATCTGCCTCACTCTGCTTAGGAGAAATATTTTTGTAGATAAGGAAAATCCCATAGGACAGTTTCCTGTTCTTAGTGGTTGTTAGAGAAAATTTCCACAATTTTTCTCAAAAATTTGTGGTAGTATTTTGAGATTCCTATGAGGGTAAAAGCATAATCAATTCTCTTTGGTATTTTAGAAACAAATGGTAGAGAGGAATCACAGTCTTTGTCCCGATCCTCACTCCACGCATAGATGTACGGAACTTAAACTCAAACTCACACATGCATACACTCATATCAAGCTCTCACATTTATGGTCATACACATACCCATGTGCGCACACATTAATACACTTTTCTTTCAACTCTCATACACACTCATACTCACATACATAAATGCAGTCTCATACACTTATACACACCCACAGAGACTCATTCTCCAACTCACACATATATACACACTCTCACTTTCTCACACATATACTTATACTCATACACACTTCCACATACACTCACACCTACACACATACTCTTAGCCACATGTCACATGCCTACACATATGCTCATACACCCACACCCAGAAAATATACCTGCACTGAAAGGTCTTGGGTCAGTTTATGTTACAGAGTTGCAGAAGCAAAGATGACCCTGGGGGTTTTCTCTTTGAACCTTCCATTTTTTCCATTTTTGTTCATGGCAAGACTATCAGTGACGTGAGGTGCTCACATTCCCAATTTGTTGACTGCTCTGCCACTCCATGCTGCCTTAATATGGCTTTATACTTGCTTCAAGTTTAACAGCTGTAGCTTTGTAGAAATTCTTTCAAGTGACATATGTATATTTTCCTGTTTCATAATTAGATCAAGTGAAACTACCATTTGGACACATTACAAGAAAAACTGTATCTCCACAGACTCCATACACACACACACACACACACACACACACACACTCACGTGTGTTATGTGAATAAGGAAACCCGAGTGTTGCATGGAAGTCCTATGGTAGAACACGCCCCAGGATCTGCTGACTCTGCTGGACAGGGTCAGGGCTACTGCTAGCACCTCTCAATAAGCAATGCACTGTGTATCAATCTCAGGTGCTACCAAGATTATTCCAGTGGAGGCTGGGCCTCCTGAAACAGGAGCAGCCTCTCCAGAGACCACTGCAGCAGACCTGGTACCGCGAAGAGGGTATCAAGAATACGCCATTCAGCAGACCCCATATGAGCAGCCCATGAAGTCAAGCAGGTGAGTTGTTCCGTGAGCTCTAGCCAAGGTGGGCTGCAAGTGACATGTACACAGAGCAGGGAAGACCTGTACATCTGCTGGTCTGGATTCTATTTATGACCTTATCTGTAAAGGGTCTTAACTCATTAGCTTAGCTGAAGCATCTATCCATCCATCATGCCCTAGTATAGTTCTTTCTCAAAGACCAAGGCAGAACAGTGTACTCTAAGAACTGAGCATGTGCTTGTCTTCACATGTTACCCAGTCAAATGTATCTATAAGCTATGAAAAGGTGCAGACAAGGCTTGGTTTGCACATACTGTGATAGAGTCTATTTTTTTCAATAGGGAAAACTGAAACAGCCATCATGGTGAAAGCTACAGGAACCAATAGTTTTTCCAGGTTTTACTACCACTGCTAGTTCACTGTTTATACTTTTTTTTTAATGATTATATATAATATAATTTTTGTTTGTTTCAAATACAAAATACTAAAATTACTGTTTTTTTTTTACTTTAAAAAATTTACTGCACCTTGAAAATCTTTAAATTTTAGTACATATTAAAAATATTTATAGCTGGGCAGTGGTGGTGCATGCTTTTAATCCCAACAGACAGGAGGAAAGAAGCAGGAGGATCAACACCCTACAAACCATTTCCAGGACTGCTGGGAATCTCGAAAAACAAAACAAAATGTTTTCTTTTTATGTGTTTCTATTATAATGTAAATGAATTTAAAAAAAAGAGAGCTTATGTAGCCCAGGCCATCTTAAAGCCATAGTTTTCCTGTCTCAGCCTCCTGTGTATGAGGATTACAGGCATTGCCACAATGCCCAGGTCAAATAGCTGTGCTTTGCATGATAGATAGTACAGTGGTTCACACACCGGGACATTCACCTTCTCATTCTTCTCCAAGACTTCCTGAAGTATAAAGTGCTCCCAGTGAAATTGTTACCTCAGGGAATGTATATTTAAAACTTTAATGGACGTCAAAAACTGCCCCTTGTCCTGGAACATGGTGTGTTTATTGCATGCTAGCTGGATATGGTCATGTTAAAGTCAGTGGACAAACATATGAGCAGGGTCTAAACACAAAGCATGTGTTTGCATGAGAGCCTTCAAAGATATTGCTGTCTTTAACTACTGCGAAAAATGGGCATTGACCGTGTTTAGTCCCTCAACCAACTATCTATCCTTTTGTTTCTTTCAGATAGATTCCTAGAGGTAGAATCTAGATTACTAGAGGCAGTAGGGTGTGTGAATATTCTTCAGTGGTACCTCTCTCACCAAATAGGAAACACTTGCATAAGATAATTCGGAAAGCATTCTGTGCCCATCACAGCTCTGTGTTCTAGTTCACAGTCATCACTTAGAGCTCAAGCTTAAAATCAAATAGAGCCTGCCTAGCATCGTCACCCGAAGTAGACCTTCCCCAAGTGCAGGGTGCTCAGGCCTTTGCTACCTATTTGTCTGATAATATACAAACAAGAGCAAACAATTTTCTTAAGACCATTTAAATCTCTCAACAGAAGAGGAAATACTGAGATTTGCTTGTTTAATTAATGTTGAGTCCAGTGCTTTTATCTTCAGTGTTCTTTATAAAATGTATCACTTTCTGGATGTTTTTGTCATTTGGGAAGATCCAAATTACATTCCTTAGAGAAGCCTTGGGCTTAGCATGCAATTGTACTAGTAACTTTCAGATATGAATATTCTAGTTTCCTCTTTAGTATTTATGGACAGCATTCCACTTAAGTACTTTAAACTCAAAGTAACAGTTGTATAAATCTCTCATCAATATAGACCTTTATTTGTGGTAGGCATAGTTCAGTGGTGCTAATTAATAGCACTGCATGGTTATTAGGGTGTCATAAATCCTTGCCTAGCCCAGATATACCTTTGAGAGGAAGCAGCAGAGGCCAGAGGTGTATTCTCCCTTGCTTCCTTGGTTTCCCTCTGTTGGGATCTGTAAGCAGGCATCTCTACGGCCAGCCCCAAGGGACCTGACAAACCGGATATCAGGCATCTGTGGAGCCACCTATGGACCACCTGGAACCACCTGTGCATGCTCTGGGTCACCTTATAAGAGAACTGGAAACTCCTCCTCGCTCTCTTTCTCTCCTGCCCAGTCCAGAGATGGTCTCTGCGACCCCTTCCCCTAATAAACCTCCCACGTGGAACCAGTCACGTGGCGTGATTTGTGAACCCGCCGTGTAACTCTTTTGCACAATCCTATCACCTCACCTTTCTTGTTCCTGGTGCGTGGTCACCTACTTCAGTGCCATCCATTTTGGTAGCAGGAGTAGCCCCTCTGAAAGCGCCTTCTCCAGGTGCACGGTCACACTGTGCAGGGTTCACTGAGCACCAGAGATTTCATGCAATAAAAAGGATGAGGAAGGGGGAATGTGCTCCAGAGGCCATAGGGTCCTTGGGGTCAAGTCACTAAACAATTGTTTGCTGTTGGGTGGCTGCTTAGTTTCCTTATGTGTAAAATGGGTCTGATGAAAGTGGGGATTAAATAGTCAGCTTAGGGCTTGTTATAAGCACTCATTGCTTATTAGTGATAACCTCTGCTATTTCATCCAGTGCACTTCTTGCCACAGTAAAAGAGATAGGCTCCATGAGGAAGGTCATGCTTTTATTCACCACCATATATACAAAATCTAACACATGCCCATGACATGTTGCCTGGTTTACTCAGTAGAAACTGTTTATTTAATGGCGTGTGAAGTTAATAAAGACAGTGATATTTTCCCCACCTGACCTCTAAACCAGCAATGGTGGAAGAGGACAGTTGGTAGTGAGTAGGACATCAGCTGTGTCCGAGAGCTCCAGGGGAGAGTAACATGGTTTGTATCAGCAGTGAGCTTGTCCAGAAGCCTGCCTTTCCTACCTAAGAGCTGGTTTACCACTGGCTGGGCTCACAGATGCCTCTCTCATGAGCTATTGCCCACCACAGGCAGGCATATCCCTGCCATATAGCAAACTATAGGTCTTGTTCCAAACTCATTAGCATCCACCTGTTTTCTCCCTTTCTGGGAAGAAGGGAGGGCATGGAGAAAGGCCAGTTGTCTTTTTCTCAAGAGTGTCTCTCCCGTGCAGACTTGCACAGAGGACAAGAACCCCTGAGAGTTAATGGAATGGATGGGTAGGTGTGGATTATCAAATTTGTTGAATAAGTTCACCCTGTATAGTCTCTTGGAGACTGGATTTACTTCTGTCCATGTATCCCAGAATGAACACAGCTTTGGAGCATCCCTGGTGACTATGCTTGTGTGAATCACAGCCCTTGTTCCTGCTTCCTTCTTTTGCTACCACCTTTCTTGTTCATTAAGCTTTGGCCCAGATGTTACCTTAGTTTATGTTCCCCAGTAGCCTTTGATCAGTTAGAGGTCTCTTCTCTTCAATGACTACCATGCTGTTGTGGAACATTGCAGGATTCCCTTTTCTCCTACTAGAGTTTATGTTCCCCAAGAACCAGCACCCTCTTTCATCATTGTCTGTGTCTATCCTGTTCTGTTCCCTAAGTCTTAATTTGCTGAATAAATGAATGTTCCACCTCTGCCTTGCTGCCCTGTAGCTGACTGCACAGCCTTGTGTAGTTGTTTTATTGGAAAGTTTCAAAGTCTCCCGAAGTTAATGGTGCTGTCTTCTATCTCTAGGTTAGGTCCCACCCAGTTGAAGATCTTTACTTGTGAATACTGCAACAAGGTCTTTAAGTTCAAGCACTCACTGCAGGCCCACCTGAGGATCCACACTAATGAGAAGCCATACAAGTGCTCCCATTGCAGCTATGCCAGTGCCATCAAGGCCAACCTCAATGTACACTTGCGCAAGCACACTGGAGAGAAGTTTGCCTGTGACTACTGCTCCTTCACCTGCCTCAGCAAGGGCCACCTCAAGGTGCACATCGAGCGGGTGCACAAGAAGATCAAACAGCACTGCCGCTTCTGCAAGAAAAAGTACTCAGATGTCAAGAACCTCATCAAGCACATCCGAGACATGCATGACCCGCAGGACAAGAAGGTCAAGGAGGCCTTGGATGAGCTACGCTTGATGACAAGGGAGGGCAAGCGGCAGCTACTCTATGACTGCCACATCTGTGAGCGCAAGTTCAAAAATGAGCTAGACCGGGATCGTCACATGCTGGTCCATGGTGACAAGTGGCCCTTCGCTTGTGAGCTCTGTGGTCATGGGGCCACTAAGTACCAGGCCTTGGAGCTGCATGTCAGAAAGCATCCCTTTGTGTATGTCTGTTCTATTTGTCTCAAGAAGTTTGTCAGTTCCATTCGGCTGCGCTCCCATATCCGAGAGGTGCATGGGGCAGCCCAGGAGACCTTGGTTTTTACCAGCTCCATCAACCAGAGCTTCTGCCTCTTGGAGCCTGGTGGAGACATCCAGCAAGAAGCCTTGGGGGACCAGCTGCCCCTGGCAGCTGGGGAATTTGTATGTTCAGAAATGAATGTGCATAAGGAGGAGGCTTGTCCAGGGAATGCTCAGCCTGAGGTGGGGCTGAGGGAGCTGGAAGCTCCTGGAGAAGCACCTAGTCCAGCTGTGCCCTTGACCACGCCGCAGAGTGAAAGTGTTTGCCTGTCCCCCTGCAAACTAGAAACCACTGTGGTCTCCTCTGACCTCAACTCTCTTGGAGTGGTTTCAGATGAATTTTTACTGAAAAATGATACCTCCTCTGCTGAGGTTCATGCTGCTGCCAATACATCCTTGGATACGCAGCATGGAGACTCAGTCCAGACTCAGGGTGAAGAAGTCACACTGCTGCTGGCCAAGGCCAAGAGTGCCGGAGCAGACCCAGAGACCCAGAGTGACCAGGGCCCTCCAGCTGGAGGGAAGAATGTGGTTGCTCTGCCAGCCAGTGAATCTGACTCTAGCACATGTCTCAGGGCAAACCCAGTGGAGGCCTCAGACCTCCTTCCTACAGTGGCTGATAGAGGCACTGCATTCATGAAGGTCCTAGACAGTCTGCAGAAAAAGCAGATGAACACCAGCCTTTGTGAGAGGATCCGGAAGGTTTATGGAGACCTGGAGTGTGAATACTGTGGTAAGGAAAGGCTGTGCTGGTCATATGAGCCTTTGAGTGGAGCTTTCCTTCCCAGCAGCCCTGTCCATTCCTGTCATGCTGTCATCACCTTGGGTTCCATTTGAGCTCATAACACCTCCTTAATGAGCCACCTTCCTCTGTGATAGATAGGAACAATGAGCCTGTGTCATGAGTCGCAGTTGGATCCTTCCTGGAGTCTGCTGGGACGATGCGCAGATGGCCATGTTGAGGGTCATGCTGTGGGCTGCTCACAATTTCTACCATCTTCTGACCAAGAAGAATCATTCTTCTGGTTCTCAGTTGTGGCTTCATCAACTGGGTAGAGAGGGCAGGAGACTGGCTGTAGCTCTGCATAGGGAGGCCCAAGCAGCTTCCTTCTAGCTGATGGTGAAGTCTCGGCTCTGGGAGCTTCCAGACAGCAGGAGTATAGGAAGTGAGCAGCCTAGGCCCTGGCCCGTAGCCCAGACTATCAAGAGGACCCTGAGGCTCTTGGATTTGTGCATTTGCAGGGCAATGTTCAACATAATTGGCTCTTTTTTCCCTTTTTGTAGCCCTAACAAAATGTGAAGGATGGTGGTACCTTACCTTAATAATTGAAAACTGCCATTTTTGAAAAGTAATTTCCTGACAGAAGTGTGGTAGAAAGTGTGAAGGGCTTTAGATAAAGGAGATAAATATGGTAGTTAAAAATGATAATAAAAAATCAAATTTAGTATAAAAGCAACTTCCTTGTTCTCATGTGAAAATATTTTTTTAGGCAAACTTTTTTGGTACCAAGTGCATTTTGATATGCATGTCCGCACTCATACCCGGGAACATCTGTATTATTGCTCCCAGTGTCACTATTCTTCCATCACCAAAAACTGCCTTAAACGCCATGTAATTCAGAAACACAGTAACATCTTGCTGAAGTGTCCCACTGACGGCTGTGACTACTCGACTCCAGATAAATATAAGCTACAGGCCCATCTTAAAGTTCACACAGAGCTGGTAAGTAGCAAGCCAAAAATGGCAGCCCCCACCTCCCTCTGGGTACCCATTGCTTTCTCACATTTATGCAAATAGAGATCTCCCTGCTGCAGATGGGTGAATACCCTGTCCCCTTCAAACACTGAGGGGCCCTTCTTCTGCCTCTTGACACCTCACAGAGCTTTCACCCCCACCTTTGCCCCAGCTCCTTTCATAGTGAATCTCTGACTAGACTGAAGAAATTGCATTCTCTGCAAGGTTTTTTTGTTTTTTTGTTTTTTAGCATTTGAGAAGGTCTACAGAAGAAAGATCTGCAGAATGGAATTGAAACAAAGGTTTCATAAATGGCACTTTTAAGATTTATTAATAACAGGAATAGTAATAGTAATCCCCCACAAGTGTTTTTGGGGGATTAAGTTGGATGATTGTATTGGATTAGGTGATTATACCAGGAACACTATTGTCATATTAGTGTGGCATTCATTGTAAATATCAACAGCATCTAGGCATCTTTGCTTTAAGAAGTGACATGTTAATCCAGGATACCATTAACTGCATGGTCATGTCTGGTTCTGTAGTGGGTGATCACATGGTGATCCAATGAGTGAATATTTGTTTTTGCAAGGTCTATTCTGATGGGAAGAGATTAACACTCCTGAGAAAGATTTAAGACTTCTTAACATAATAAAGAAGCCACACCTGGGGCCTATGTGACTCAGTTTTATGATATAGACAGCACAAAAGGAAACTTCAGAAGAGCTGGAAGAGCTGCTTTGATTTTCTGGTGTAAGAATCACTGATGTTAGGTGGTTTGTCACCAAGGTACATTCGGGTTGTTTGAAGGTGTGAGGAGATCAAAGCATAATGGGATAGACTCCATCACCGCCTCCACATCTCCACAGGCTTCATGGCCTCAGACAATTCACTTGTTTCTGAAACCTGCCACCCATATACACTTAAAAGCCTGTCTTGGTCACTGTTCTATTGCTGTGAAGAGACACCATGACAAAGGCAACTCTTAAAAGAGAAAGTGTTTAGTTGGGGCCTGTTTACAGTTTACAGGCTTAGTCTACTATCATTGTAGCAGGAAGCACGGGGCCATACATGCAGAACCTAGGACATGTATGGACTAGGTAGCTGAGAACTATCTTCTGATCTGTAGGCGGAGAGATAGACTCTGGGCTCTAAAGCCTCATAGCCCAGTGACACACTTCCTTTAATCCCTTTGGAGGCCATGCCTCTTAATCTTCTTTTTTCCTGTTTTTATTATCTTTTTAAAAATTTTTATTTTTTTCTTCACAATTTATTCATTGTATATCCTGATTGAAACTCCCCCCCTCAACTCCCCCAGCCCCACCTCCCTTCTTCTCCCCCTTTACTATTGCCATTGGCCCATGGCTTATTAAGTCTTATCAGGACTGCTTGGATCCTCTTCCTCTGTGGCTTGGCAAGGCTGCATCATCAGGGGCGAGTGATCAGAGAGCAGTCAACTGATTTCATTAATGAAGCAGCCCCTGCTCTACTCACTCAGAGATCCACATGGAGACTGAGCTGCCAACCAGCCACATCTGAGCAGGGGGTATAGGACCTCTCCATGTATGGTCCTTTGATCCAGTCTCTGCAGGAACCCCTTGTCTCAGAGCTTTTAGTTCTGTTGGTCTCCTTGTGGGGCTCCTGTCCCTTCCATGTCCCTCTAATCCCACCCCTCTCTTTCTCCATAAGACTCCCTGCACTTTGCCCAAAGTTTGGCCCTGAGTCTCAGCATCTGCTTTGATCTCCTGTTGGGTGAATCTTTTTAGAGTACCCTCTATAGTAGTCTCCCATCCTGTTTCCTCTCTTCCACTGCTTCTGGTGGCTGTGCTGTTTGCCATTCTGAATGAGAATTAAGCATCTTCCCTAGGGTCCTTCTTAGTGTTTAGCTTCTTTAGGTCTGTAGATGGCTGTCCTATATTATACCGCTAATAGCTGCTTATCAGTGAATATATACCATGCCTGTCTTTCTGTTTCTGGGTTACCTCACTCAGGGTGTTCTCTTACAGTTCCATCCATTTGCCTGCAAATTTCATGATTTCCTTGTTTTTAATAGCTGAGTAGTATTCCATTGTGTAGATGTATTCCTCTTAATCTCTTTAAATAGTGCCACTCACTGGGGACCAAGCATTCAAGTCAATCAGCCTATGGGGGCCCATTCTCATTGAAACCATCACAAAGTCCATTATGTACACACTCATTCATGCACACTGATGTGCACTGATACCTATAAGCATGTATGCACACTTATATACATAGACATACCTGCACATACATGCACACCTGTGCATATTTGTGTATTCCTATTCTGTTGTCATTGCAATGTTGAAATGGAGTGGCCTCAGTCCATGCCTGATAAGTAGTTGAGCATATAAGCCAGCTGCACTGGCTTTCCATCATATTTCCTTTCCTGTTCTCTTCTCACTCTCATCTTGCAGGCTTGCTTTTGTTCTTGGTGTTTCTCTTCCCTTCTCCTTCTTACCTCCCTACCTCCTTCTTTCTCCAGTAGGGCATAATGGCATATGGTTTGTCAGATTTTCTGTCATTACTGTTAGGTTGGCACTGAGCCTGAGGGAGTGAATCCAATGTTAGACTAGGTTCTTGTTAGGAGAAGCCTTAGAGGATGGTACTGGAGACAGGAAAACACAAGACTGGATTGAACCTGTTTACCTTGTGTTTGGTATAAGTAATCTGACTACTCCATGCCTCAGTTTACTTGAGCAGGAGAGGAAGAGATGAAGGAATACATATAAGTACCTGGTGTGGGCTATTGTTTTAAAGTTAGCTGCTCTGGATTTAGGATTTTTGAACCTAGGTGACATGGGTGACAGGAACTAAGCCATTGTTCACTGAAAGATTGACTGTGCAACCTAGGCTGCCTTTTTTTCTTCATTCAAAATTTGCCTCTTAGTTATGGATGTCCTGGGGCTGCTGGTCTAGCCTGGTAATTTTTTCCTCAGGTGCTCATCTCAGTCTCTTGACCACATCCCTGAGTGTTGGGGTCACTGAGAGGCATCAGGAATATGTGGCTGATGTCCTTAGTCTTAACTTTGTGTGCTTTGCTTCTTGCTTATTAACAGCTGTTGTAGATGCTGTCCTCTGAGTAGAACAGTCAACACCTTCTTCAGAACAGCTGTGCTAACTGCAATGGACCTCTGAGATCAGTGACATTGACTGTTGATGTTCTCTCATGGAAAGAGGGCCAGGGAGAGGGTCATCAGAGCCTCACCTGATCTCAGTCACTCTCCTGTACTCGGCAGCTAGTACATAATTCTGTGTATAATTCTGTCCTAATTTTACATGTCTGTGGGATCTATGGGGATGCTAGATTGTATAGATTGTATGTATGGGAGTTAACTAAAATGCTTGGAACTCCATCTGTTTAGCTAGTTGTCATTAGTTCTGAGGTGACACTTTTCTCCTTTGGGGTCACACAGACTCTTGTAAGTGACACCTCACATGTGTTATGTAAATAACTCCAGTAAACTCATTGGTTCCCCAGGTTAGACTTGATGAAAGTGCACTTTGGTTTGTCTCGGGAGCCCTGTGAGGAGTAGTTAAGCATTTGTTTGCTCCCAGGGAATATGCACCTGTCATTGGCATTTCACTTTTCTACTTTCATGGTGATGAATGTGGTTGTGACTTCCTTCAGAGTGTTGATTTTACCTCTAGCAACATGTAAGGAGCTCTGTTGAGACCAGCCTTGGTGCAGAAAGCTGCTGGTTTGATCATGTAGCCACTTCCTTGTGTTTTTACTTAATTCCCAAGTTACTTCTAGAAGTTAGGAGTCATTTACTCTGCTGTACAAGAGTCTCATGTCTCAATCTCCATCATGCAGCAACTTGGTCTGTGGTTGGGCCAAGAGTGATTGATGACGAATTTTATTCCACGGCCTTATCATAGTCCAATGCTGCTTATTTGGTGGTGTCAGGTCATTAGTGTTAGAAGCTCTTGGACACTTGTCCATCTTCTGAAGGAATGGGGTAGAGGTGGGCCCAGGGTGGCAGACACTATGTGGTAGATACTCCTGTGTTGCTAAGTGTGAAACATTCCTCAAAGTGGCATGAATTAATGTCTGAACATTGCTGCTAGAAAAGCACAGCACACTGCTGCAAGGACTGTGGCTCAGTTAACCTCACATGTCCTGCTTCTTATCAGTATTCACATTTTCTTAGAAGGTCTTAGTGTTTAATCTGTCCTTCTTCCCATTGAAATAATATATGCTTTTTAAGCAGGGTCTCACTCTGTAGCCCAGGTTGGCCTCAAACTAATAGTATTCCTCTTGCCTCAGCCTCCCAAATTCTGAAATTGCAGGTTGAAGCCACCTTGTCCAGCTCAATTGAGGCACTCTGTTTTTGTTTGTTTAACTTTTATTTTTCTCTTATACATTACATCAGATGGCAGTTTTCCCTCCCTCCACTCCTCCCAATCCCTTCCCCTTCCTCCCCTCTCTCTAGATCAACTTCTCCTTTGTTTCCCTTCCAAAAAAAAAAAAAAAAAAAAGAAATCAGGTCTGCCAAGTATATGGCCTGGTTTCCTTACCTGTGCACTTGAAGAGGGCATCGGATATGTCATATTGCTGGCTGAGGTTTCGCTTTTGATTTAGCATTCTTGCTTTGAACAGAGATTCCCATGCAGAATGAAAATTAAAATACCATCCTCCATGTCCAGATGAGCCATGTATTAGGATGCAGAGATAATTTGGCAAATTGCTAGTTTCTGTGAGCCTCACACTATTTCAGCTAAGAATGCATGTAACAGTCAAAAAAGCGATGCCCAGTATAGTGTCTTCCCACTGCTTCTTCCCATTATGATGTCCATGGCATCAGTTTGTAGTGAAGGAATACAGTCGTCCCTCCATAGGGATTAGTCCAGGTCATAGGGCATTCTGAGGATGCTCAAATCCTCAAGTAAAAAGATGTGTGTCTTGGTTCCCTTCCTGTTGCTGTGATAAAACACAAAACCAACTGTATGATTATTTAAACTTCATGAAAAGGAGAGTTGGGAAAACATGATTTAAGTCAAATGCACAGGAGCTTTGGGTTGTGTTTTGCTCATTTCCAGTCCCACATTGGTCTTTGCAATTTGGGAGCAAATTGCTTAGGCTCTTTGAGCCTCAGTTGTCTCGACTGTAAATTGGAGATAAAGTTCTTCCCTCATCTTAAGGCTAAGGGGAATAAATTTAGCCAGTGAAGGGCAAGATCCATGGCTCATGATCCATTAGAGAATTGTGCAAACATCTGAGTGAATCATGCCTGGCTCTCTTAAAAGTGAGATAAAATAGACAGAAATAGAGCCTGTCAATAGTGTTCACCCCCACACAGGGCAAATATCACTTTCCGAGGTTTTTTTGTTGCAGTGTTAAGTGTTTGAATGTCAGTGCCTATTAGTATTGTGGGAAGGGGAGGTGATGGGGACAGAAGCTGTTAAGTGGCTTGATTCTTGGGTCCCTATTAAATATGTGTGTCAGCTATTGCCCTAAGTGATTTGATTGGTGACCTCCCTGAACCTCAGTGTCACAGTGGCATTTGTTAGGAATTAGATCCCTGGCTTCCCACCTTCATCCTAACCCTAAGTGGACTCTGGGAACCTGGGTCCTTTGCTTCTGTTTTGTATTCCTCTCAAGAGGCCTCAGAGGTAAACACAGGGAAGCTGCAGCCTAAGCTGAGAGTGCTGGTTGTAAGATTGTGAAGGGGCATAGATAGCATTGCCCTTCAACCTCTCTAGGCCCATGTCCTGAAAATGAGGTCGCTAGTGTCCTCCAGGATTGCCCTGGGAGCATACTGTGGTAATGTTGACAAGGTCTCAGTGTGGTCTAATGCTTTGGGGGCTGTCCTGATGATAGATAGCTGTTGCTGTTCTTTCCCTTCAGCCCTTCCCCCTCTACTCTTCAGTCAGGGAATGAGGAGACTAACAGTGAGAGTAATAGTCTGTTCATCCAGCATTTGTTGGCTTCTCAGTTAGTGTTTAGAATATTTGGCCCTGATCTTTGAGAAGCACATAGATTTTTTTTTTGTTTGGTGGTTACTGAACAATAAGTACTTTTTGAATAAGCAAATAAGTTGCCTAAAAGCAAAGAGAAATTCAAGGAAGCTGTTTTCCATATCTCTCCAGAAATAAATGGGGTATACCTGGTCAGTATGTATTCGTGTGAACAGAGGAAAATGCAGTGCCTGAAAAGTGGTTTTCTTCCTGAGGACTGTAAGACTGTGCTTACATCTGATCAGAAAACGTGCTTGATTCTGGGTTACTCCTCTTGGTGTTTACCCATTGTGCAGCAGCCTTCAGGCTCTTTGAGCTTCCTGTATAGAGCAGCTTCCTTGTGGTCTGGGAAAACAGAACCATCTTTAGCAGAATTAAAGGCTTTATCTCTGCAACCCTAATTCTGACACTTTCTGGTATTGTGTTCCAATTTGTCATAACACAAGTGTCACCTTCCTAGTTCTTGCTGTAGCTTCTGCATCCCTTGCATGGGTGAGTAGGCTCTCTGTTATCTTTAGATAACTTGTAAGAGCTCACAGAAGTGCTGCCTTTGTCCCCAGTACAGGTTCAGGCACAGGACAGGTACCGTAACTGTGACCCATTCTTGAGAAACCGTACAGAACAAGTGCCAACTTTTGGAGCTTTATGTCAGTGTTTTATAGGGGATGCATGTAGGATTCACGTATGTACATTTAGTGAGTGAATTCAGTTTCATCATCTCCAGCCAGTATGGGTATCAGAACTTTCCACTTATTTGGAGGACAATATACCTGCCATTATGGAACAGTCCAGATGTGGTCACCTGAGTGATATACTAGGTTTCGAGCCTCAGGCAAGGACTTCTGCATCTCCTTCCATGACAGTCTCATGCTGACACCCACTTCTTTCTAGGGCACAAATAACTTTGAAGGCATCTCTGTTGGAACAAATAGACTCCAAAGGCTGGGCTCTTAGCAACCCTATGGCTAGCTTTCTTGTGTTCCCTGCCTTTGCTACGGGCTCTTTTAACCATAGTTCTTTTTAAGTTTGCTGAGTGTGTTTGGTATTTGGGTTTCATGTACAGGAAGACACTGAGCTTTTGAAAAAGAAGTACATGAATCCTAAGAGTCTACCCTTCTTCCAGCCCCCTCTCCTATTGTCTGTTTCTTGACAATCTTCAAAGACATCAAGAAATGGGGCCCCTGATAAGCTCTAAGATAAATTGCTTTCAGACTATAAGGGATTAAAAGAAAAAAAAATCAAACAGCAAGGACTCAGGGGAGATCAGTGTAAACTCCTTCAAAGCCCTTCTGAATGCCTCGATCAGCTCTGATGACAAGGGCGGCTGGGACAGAGGTGGGAGGGTGCCTGAAGGATGCCAGAGGGGCCTTGACAATTTCTCTAAAATGGCAGTGTGAGCCCAGTGTCACAGACAGTAGAGGGGAGTAACAGGAGCACATTGAGAAACTCCAAGGCCATGTTGTCTAGGGAAAGTCAGTTGCATTGGCTGGCCAGAAAGCTTATGACAAGGTCTTTCCTCTTTGTGTGTGTGTACGTGTGTGTGTGTGTTTGTGTATATATACACTTCAAAGTAGAAAGCTTTATCTTTTATTATATATTTTGATTGTATTCACCTCAGACTCCTCTCCCTCACCCATCCCAGATTTCTTCCCCACTTCCTAGCATCATATCCTCTTTCTTTTTAAACAAGCACCATTCCCAGTTTGTCCTATTCATATACTCCTGTGTATAGAGCTATCCACTAGAGCATGGTCAACCTACCAGAGGCCATTACTTTAAAGAAAGGGTTCTCCCCTTTTCGAAGCCATCAACTTTAAATGGCTCCTCAATTAGTGGTGGGGACTCATGAGTTCATCCTCTTCCCCCTTGCTAGAATGTTGACTGGCTTGATCTTGTGTTCCTTTCTCTTGCCATCCATTTCTTAATCTATAACGTAGACATGAATGACTGTTTTTGTGAGTGCTTGTGAATCTCAGTCTTATGTGAAAGCTCAGCATGAGCAGTGTTTTGGGTGCTGAGGACATCATATACTTTTGGGTTATTGAACAGCCCTAGAATGTATAGTAGTGTTTCTCAACTCTCCTTTCTATCTTCCTAGAGTTCTCACATATGACTTTTCCCCAGCTGCATAGGGCTATGCAGCTGTCTGTTAAGTGCTTGGAAGAATGCCTTGCACAAAAGCCTTGACAAGGCCTTTGCTCCTGGTTGTTGTGGGGTTAATAGTATAGATTGATGATGATTGTGATAGTATAGATGATGATGGTAGTGGTGACAGTACTGATAGTGGAGGTAACAGTGTTAATGATCATGGTGATTGTGTTAGTGACCGCGTTGGTTGTTTTGTGGTGGTAGTGATAACAGTTGTGTGATGGTGTTTGATACTGGTGGTGACAATGATGTTAGTAATAGATGGTGTTTGATGACAGTGGTAATGGTGTATGTTGATAGTGGTGGTGATGATGGTGGTGGTGTTTGGTGATGATAATGGTAAGGGTAGAAGTTATTTTTCTACAGAAGCTATATTTAAAATAGTTAATTTTTTTCCTTTCTTTTTCTATTAAGGACAAAAGGAATTATTCTTGTCCTGTATGTGAAAAATCTTTTTCAGAAGATCGATTGATAAAGTCACATATCAAGACCAATCATCCTGGTAAGGTTATAAATTTTAGAATAGAAGATTAATTTTTAAATACTTATGTTTATTTTAAAACGTAATACTGTATGTAAGCTACACCAGCTTGGAATGAAGAGGGATAATGTGAATGAATTCAGTATTTGAAATGTTCTGGTCTTGGGGAAGCCTTGTGCCTGCCTTGTTCCACCTTGTACTGTGGTGGCTGACTACTTGTATTCAGACACTGTCATTGTTGCTGCCATGGGGTCCTTGAGGTGGACTTTATCATCAGACTCCATTGCCGTATTAAGTAGAACAGGCAGACAGACTTGGGCTGTCTGTGTTACATAAATAAGTAACAAGCAAAATACACCTTCTTCTTGATCCCTGCCTTTTCTTGTTGAAAAACTTGTACCTGCCCTTGATAGAAGAGACCTGACTTCTCTGTTAAAAGTAAAGGTCTCTGACTGTTTTGTTTTAGCTGGGAGCACACAGAGCCTTGAACCTTTGTCAGTTCATGGATTATATAATTCTGCTCCTTTGGTGTTAATCTTTGTCCTGTGTAACTGGTAGTCCAGTGGGAGCTGACAACAGCATTTAGAGGCACTGACCTTCGATCGTGAATACAAAATTATACAAGGAGCCCTGTGTGTTCACATCTTCTCTTCTACATGCTTCTACATTCTCCAAGCACATTGCATGTATCCCCCCATGCTTTTTTTTTTTCTAGAAGATTCTACAGCTTATCCTATTCGATTTTCCTATGAAAGGCTTTGCATACTATGTCCAATAAATACTGTTTTTGCTTAGCATAACCTCCACGTGATTTATAAGAAGCAGTGCTAACCATGATTCTTACTGTGTCCTAGGATCTTATGCATGGCCACTTAAAATAGTCTGAATTGATCTATGAATTTTTTGTACACTTTGAATTGAGCTGCAGTATTTTAGTGCTTATGCCTCTTTCATGCCTTGTATTCTGTAGAACCCCCAGGCTGTTGTCTGTTTTCCACACCAGTGACTTCTGGGAGAATCTGAGTTACTTTTCTCATAAAAAGCCCATGTTGCACATTTGTCTGTTCATCGCTTTGCAGTGTTTCCTCCATTTTTCACATTGTACATTAATAGGTTCTTAGATCTACTGCCTAGTCAGATTTAAGTTTAGCTTTCTCAGTAAAAATGTTGTCTTGTGACTCCAAGGAGGCAGTTGCTGGATATTTCTTAGATATGCAGGTGCACCACTGAAGTTGATTTACTGCTCACCTGAAGAACACAGTGCCTTGTCCTCTCTGATCACCACTACTTTTTTGTTAGAGGTCTCTATGAACACCATTTCCGAGGTCCTTGGGAGAAGAGTCCAGCTCAAGGGGCTCATTGGAAAGCGAGCCATGAAGTGTCCATATTGTGATTTCTATTTCATGAAGAATGGCTCAGACCTTCAGCGGCACATCTGGGCTCATGAGGGTGAGTCGTCTTTCCATCTGGAGCTTCTGTTTAACTTTGTGCTGTGTGCTTTATTTTGGGAATACATAAAAAGGAAATTTACCCTTACATGCCCTGTTGTTAGGATTTCTTTAGCATGTAAAGATGTGTTTACCAGCCAATGGGGCTCAGAGAATAAAAGCATGACTTTAGCTTTTGTGGTTATTAGAAGTGTTCCCTACTGCCTAGCTCTGGTTATAACTGTGGTGAAATAGATTGTCATACTTTGCTTACTGGGAAACTATTGTCTTGAGAACAGGAAAGCTCATATGTTACTCTGGGCAGTTCCAGTGCCCACCACCATGCTCTGTATGTAACTGGCATCAAAGAACAATGGAACTATGAGTGATTGGTAGTGAAGAGGGCAGTGGGAATCTTGCAATTTTGGCAGTGTGGAGCATCACTGTTTATCTTGTAGAGAGAGGATTGGAAGGTAGAAAGGTTGAGCATAAATGTGGTATTCCAGAGAAGCATAAGGGCTGTGCTCAGGGCCGCTTGACCAGGAATGGAAGTGTGGGATGGCCACTTGCCAAGATCCTGTCAAGTTGGAAGTCAAGAGTCTCTTGTCACCAGCCTCTTCTTTACTCCTAGTGGAGCATATTGCCCTCCTGGGCATGAGGAAGGGCCAAGTAGCAGGAGTGCCCTTCTAGTCCTGTGCATTAGTTCCCTCTGGCTCATCAGGAGCCTCAGTCCTATAGGCTACACTGTAAGGTGAGAGGAAGAGGAATGATAAAATAGTTTGCATTATATACTGTCAGTTGTAGGCTCTAGGGGAGGAGCTGGTGGGAAGAGAGACTTCTACTTCAGTGAAGGGAGCGGGTCATAGAGCTGAGGCCCAGTGCTGAGGCTGCAAGGTGCTTTCTTGTTCACCAGCACTTATGGAGCACTTGGGCCCCAGGCGATGTGCTTTTTACTTTACTCATGATATCCTGGTCAGTGTGATCAGGGACCTGAGCGCCAGGGAAGTTTGACCAGTGAGGAACACAAGGCTCAGAAAGTTAAGAAATGCTTGTGTTGCACAGCCAGCAAGTAGTGGGATTGGGATTTGGGTCCATGTTGCATGATTCCAAAGCCCTGTTCTTTACATCTCCTCAGACTTGCACTGGCAGGAAGTGTGTGGAGGCAAGAAAGGAGGAATTGACATATGTTATTTTCTGAGAGCATTGGAGTTCATTGCAGGAGTTTTCTCAGCAGAGAAGGAGGCAGAAGCCTCTGCATGGAGATTAGTTAGAATGGTGCTCGTGGGAATCATCTGGGAGTGGCCAGAAACAGAACCAAGGACGTGACACTGATGGAAATTCAGGGATATGGGAGCCTTTGGATCATAAATCTGTTCCCCTGAGTGATAATGCTTGTGTGGCATATACAGGGCTGGAGTGGGAAGGCATGCTACAACCTTTCCTCACCTTGTCTGTGATGCAGGATGGGGCAAACATTCCATCTTCATGACCTTCAGTTCACTTACACATGAAACACTAGTATAAAATGCTTTGAGATTTGCTGCTGGGATCAGTGAGATCGTCTCCTAAATTCCCTCAGGAGGCTCAGTGTGTGTCCAGGCTTAATGTGCAGCCAACACAGGGGGTGGGCCGTTAATATTATATATTGAGCATTTGGAAGAAGTCCCTTATTTTGAAAGACTTCTGAATTCTGACAAAGATTCCGAAAGTTAAAGGCTTCTATTTTATATTGGAGTGTTGTGGCATTCTTTTTCACTTCTCTATGAATTTTTCTATAATGATGGAATAATAAAGGATAAAAAAAACCTTACCCACATTACAGTATTTGGGATTCTTTGGAGCTAATCAGTGTATTGCACTGATTCTTTCTCCCAGCTCACTCCCAAAATAAAACATGGGACAAGAACAACAATAGGCAAATGCGAGAGAAGAACATGAAGACTAACAAGAACAGACAGCATAAAGAAATATCCTGGGAACAGTGCACAATCATAGTTATTGGTCACATATGTAGAACTTTATTCACACACTGCACATGTGTTGCTCAGAAGGTTTAAGTTCAAAGTGGTCAAAATGCATTTGAGGTGAACCACAGCAGCTTTTCTGATACTGGCTCTTGGTGGGTGAAAGGAAGACAAGAGGAGTAGGTGCAGTATATTGGGAATAGTTCAGTTTGAGTTACTGGCACACAACAACACCCAGTGTTGTCTGGCTCTGTTTATTTTATGAATGTGCATATTCTTCCATACTTGATCCTGAGTGCCTGATCCCATTGGTTTTTATAAAGAATGGGGCCTCCAATTTTATTTAGTTAACTCAGTTCATTTGGATTTACTGACCTCTTTGTAAGTTGAACAGGGTGTCTGTCCTCAGGGAGTTACCAGACTGTAGGGAGAACAGAGGTGATCAACTCACTGATGTGGAAGAACATTTCAACAGGAGAGAGCTGCAGGATTGTGGAATGTTGTGGGCAACTAGAAAGATCAGAAAGCACAGGCTCAGAGACCTTGAATGACGCTGTAGTATCTCTATGGAATGGAACAAGGTGATGTAGGTGGGATGTGGGAAGTGTGGGACATGTTGGGAACAAGGAAGTCCATTCTCTGTTTAGGTGGATGTTTTTTCTGATGTGAACTGTTCATCTGGATCCTCACACATGTGTGCACAGACACATGTAAAAGACATCTATACATTTCTCCTTGCTAGGTGTGAAGCCCTTCAAATGTTCTTTGTGTGAATATGCAACTCGCAGCAAGAGCAACCTCAAGGCTCATATGAATCGTCACAGCACTGAGAAGACCCACCTCTGTGACATGTGTGGCAAGAAATTCAAATCCAAAGGGACATTGAAAAGTCATAAGCTCCTTCACACGTCTGATGGTGAGTTCCTGAGCCCCAGTGACCTGTAAATGTATGGCTGCAAGCTGGTATGCCACGGCCAACAGAGACCTTCATACCCTTGTAACAGGAAAGGGCTACACTTTGTAGGACCCACGCTCTGAAAGAACACAGGTTCTATCCTGTTTCTCTCCAGCCTGTGAGCAGGATTCAGCCTCACTTACAGCATACTCTACATAAACTCTTTTGGGATATGTGAGCATGTGTTGTTGAGGGTAGGGAGAGGGAAGCTGCTGGAGGAAGTAGGCTGTTGATGCTTGGTTCTGGAAGATTCTGTCCTCTTTAGCCTTCTATCTCACGTTGGCCCTGATTGTAAGGACAATTGCAGTGGTACCTGGCCTGAATTTTTGAGTTGATGCTTTTACATCAAAGTTACCTCAGGATTCCTACTGTTCAGTTTAAAATAGGGCTTAGCCTAAAATAGCAACAGTATGAGTTATTGTGTGTGAGCCATGAAGGTGGGTTTTAGGGGCAACAAAGCCGCAAGGATCAGTTTTTGTGTCAAGAGGTCGTTATCTAGATGGCATATCACAAGAACACCTCTGCATTTGAAGGTAAGTGTCTGGATGTGGGAGCTCAGAAGCCTGTGGGTCAAGGGTCAAAGTTCTAATGTATAGTAGGCACACAGCATCCGTAACACTTTCTGGTATAGACTTCACAGAGGGAAGAACATTGAGAAAAAACAGGCAGCCAAATTATATAAGATTTTACAAAGCTTGATTTAATTAGAGACTTCAGTTGTGGGGGCAACTTGTGAATGCTTCATGTTACAAGAATAATGCAATTTTTTAATAGATTGTTATTGCAGCATAATTAGATATAAGAATCAGGATTAACAGTACAGATTAAAATAAGTTCTTTGTTGATTTTAATTCTGGATCACAGGAGAGGATGTGTCTGTCATATCCTGCTTCCATGGTGTGTATATATATCCTTCTGGGTGTGTGCTAGCTGGTTCCTTGGCAAGAGTCACAAACTCTGCCAGGCTTAGTGGGAAAGGCTGAATGCTTGGTTGGGATTCATTAGAATTAGAGTCAGTGACATGACTTCCCTAAGTCACTGACTTAGATGCTGAACCAATGCATAGCCATGACTGTCGAACAGTATTTTTTTGTTTGTTTGTTTGTGTTTGTTTTTGTAAGACAGGGCTTTGGCTGTCCTGGACTCTCCTTGTAAACCAGGCTAGCCTCAAACTCCCAATGATCTGCCTGCCTCTGCCTCCCTGAGTGCTGGGATTACAAGTGTGTACCACTGCTTTCTTAAAAGAATACTTTCTTAAAAAAGAAAAAAAGCTGTAATCAAAATTAGAACCATGCAAGGTTGGGTGTGCTCAGTGGTAGAATACTTGCCTAGTATGGATGAGACTGTAGGTTCAGTCACTGCAAACAGACAAACAAAAAGATAAACCCAATAATATAGGCCATCACACAGGAATAATAAAAGCAATAATGAGTGATATGTAGCTACTTATGAATTTTTTACCTTCTCAAACAGAGGCCTTGCTGACCTTGAATTACCCTAGTCTTTTTTTGTAGAAGCTGTGTTTCTTCATGTGGTAGCCTATTTCTGCCTAAAGCCTGCAGTCATGAAGGCCATCAAGCTCCAGATCCAAAGCAGTCCTGGTTTTCTCATTGTGGTAGCAGCATTAGAAGGGCATTCATGGAGACATGGAAAGGGTACAGTGATCCTGATTTAACTCTGAAATCCAGGTCAAGGCATGGAGAGCCATCTACTCAGATACTGGACAGCTCCTTTGTGCATGGTGAGAAGGGACCAATGTAAGCAGTTTGGTAGAAACAGCTATAGAGCCTCCCTGCAAGGAAATAGCCTCACTAATAACATGGAATCTTTTCCAGCAAAACTATAGAAGTTTACAGTTTTTCTTCATTTATTTTTTTCCTAGTATTTTTGGGAACTCTGTTACACTGAAAATGAAGAGACAAGGAGGCCTTAACATGTCCCTCATCTCTTAGCTGTGGTACACTGTAATTCTAGGCAGCAACAGCAAGGAGGAGCAGCTGTGTGTAGACTGTGGTGTGCCTGAAGCTTGGCTCTTGGCCCCCAGGCTGCTGTGCCTGTCACCTGTGTTCCCCTTTGACACTTGCCATGCACTCCTGATTTTGAGGGCTGACTGCTAAGCAGAGCACTCGGCTTAGGCTAGCTATCCTAGCTCCACTGGCTAGCTGCTATCACTCTCTTCAGACTATATGCTTTTAGTTCCCTTTTTATTTTATTTAAGAAGCTTTGAATTTCTCCCTCAGATACTATACGTGAGGTAGAGACTTTGAAAAGGTTTTATGTTCCTTACTGATTTTTGTAGCACTTCTGTTGTATCTCAGTGGTTTCATAGAACTCTGTGGGCCTCAGTGCTTTGCAGGGTTCTATAAATATTTCCCCAGGTTATCATTTGCTTTTATATCTTATGGTTTCTTTTTATAGAGAGGAGTTAAAGAGCTTTGCTCATTTAAATTTATCAATATTTTCCTTTATGTGTTTACCCTTTCTGAGTTCTCTGTGGTAAAAGAAACCTCTCTTGTTTCAGAACAAATTCTTTTGCCTTAAGTTTTATTTATGGTTTCATAACATTTATGAAATTTCAGGTTCTTAAAATTTGTTTTAGTGTCTGCAGTATGGTAGGAATCTTCATTTTCACACAGCTCTATTGACTAAGCGTATTTATGGAGAAATCAACCCTTTCCATCTAATTTTGCTGGGCCAGAATTCCCTGAGATGTTATCTGTCATCCTGAGATTTTGGATTGTCTTGATGGGTTTTGTTTTAGATTATTGCTTTAAAAGATACTGTTTTAATTAATGTAGCTTTATCATGTATTATTTTGGTCTATTTTTGTTTTGTAATGAGACTTCTGGGGTTTTTCATTGGACTATTATCCCTTTGTTCATGGAATGTTGGAATGTTAGCGTGAAAGCATCCTTGCTTCCATCACTGGCTCATCACCATGAGCCATTTGATCATTGTGTAGTGAGTTCTCACCTGACCAGCACATGTGCTCTGCATTGATGTGCTTGATGCTATGATGAAGCTCTCAGGTTTTAACCCTAGAGGGGCTTCATATCATACTGCTTCATTTCAAGTAGTAAACACTGCTTAAAAGTCTGCAGTGTCCATTTGGTCTAAGGTGTATCATCTTATGAGCAAGAATTAAGTTCAGCTTGAGAAGCCATGCAGAGTAGGTAGAACTGAGAGCCTGAGTTTGAGTGTTGTCTGCCTGTTCACTGCAGAGTTACTAGGGCAGGTGACTTCTCTGTCTGTATGTCATTGAACTCGGGCTAGTAATAGTTGTGGAGTACTTCTCATGCTTCCATGAGGCCACTATGCGTCCTGTTTACTGGTCTTTTCCCTGTGAGCTTTAATGCTATTTATGTGAAGGCTTTCCAGGCAGGAATGTCCCATTCTGCTACCCAAACCCTACCCCTGCTTAACTGCCCACTGCAGGGACTTGGGACTTGGTGCATTTGTTTTGTATACGCAGTCCCAGAAAAGCACCCAGGCTCAGTGAATTTTTATGGAGTAAATAAGTGAAAAACAAAATGTAAGATGCCTTATATAGAGAGGTTAGGCTATAGCTCCACTTTAAAAAAAAAAGAGCCATTTATTTCCGTACCATTTCATCTCAGATAATTGTGTTAAATCAAGTGCTTGTGAATGAGGTATTTTAAAACACGGTTGAGGAACTCACTATTAAATGAATCTTCTTGGGCATCTTTTAATGAAGTAAAAAGATAGTGAGTCATCACCCTCTCTTCCACCTGCTTGTGAATCTAATTTTTCACATTTATTGGCTTATTTAAAGTGATATATCCCTGTTTATTGCATTTCTCCTTCCCACAGGAACTCATTACTGTAACTGAGAAAGGATAGGCCAATCTGGGTGAAGGTTTTACTTATAAAGTTTTTCCTGCTGGTATGTACAAAGTCAGAAATTGATCTATTAGAGGCCTACAAGAATTTAGGTAGAAACTTGGACCACACACTTCAGCCTTTTTCAAAGATACACATGATGTAGTCCGGAGATTTCTGCTTGATTTGGTGTATCTACAGCTGAGGAGGGAGGATTGATCCCGTGTGCTTTTCTATTGCACAATCAAGTGAGAATCCTTTCATCATGAATCACATGGTTCTTTGAGGTTCCATGCTGATTCCTTAGAGTCTTTGCTTTCTGTAGTTCAACCTTACCTTATCTACTCAGGAAGACCGTTTCTGCTAAGACTTATTAAGAGGCATTTTTTCAGGCTTTAAGCCCATCTGTAATAATTAGACAAGCTGAGTTGAATTTGGAAATCAGCTGAGTTCAAAAGTAACTTCTCTCCCTTAATCATTTCATAAGAACTCTTATAGCTGTTCATTGGTTGGAATATTCCAGATGATGCGAGGGTTCTTTTCCTTCCCTTAATGTCCTCTAAGAGAAAGCAAAATCACTTTGGGTTGAGATACACCCATGGTTCTAACTTTCCAGAACCATCATATTCAAGAAGGAGTACAGAAGAAGAAAATGGCACCCACACAATAATTCTGTGTCAGTAGGGCAGAATCCTAATCTCATCCTTCCTTCCTCTCTTATCCTACAGAGAAGGCTAAGAGGAAAGGTGGGAGTGGGACAGATGTTAGATATTGCAGGCTCCAATGTGTTTTGGTGGGCTGGTGGGCTGCTGCCTAAATGGTGTGAGAAGGAGGGCTGCTGCCTAAGCCCAAGAGTATCATTTTATATATACACTCCTTGGATCCATATAAAGCTCTTTTTGTTAAACTTATCTGAACCACAAGATCTGTGAAGCAGTTTCTCAACATGTGCCTATGAGCTTACTTGACAGTCACTCTGATGTGCAGATTGAAGTCTCACAATAAATGAGGTAGGATTTTCATGCAGATAGATGCCTGCCACAGTGACTGCCACCTCAGTAAAGGCCTAAGGCCCTGTTCTTTCCTCCTCTTTTATTTGGTTCTGCACTATTGCCCCATGC